CCCCAAAACCCCAAAACCCCAAAACCCCAAAACCCCTTATAATCACCTAAATTTTGAAAAATTTATTGCTCTAAATTACTTATTTTCATGCCTGTATTTAGTCAGTTGTTACCTTTAAGGCAGAAGAGACCCTCCTTTTTCTTCAACTCTGGAGAAATTTTAGAAGTAGAGTCAGGAGATCTCTTCCTAGCTTTCTTTTTATAAATAGTTCGGGTCCGGTCCCTTGCTACTTTACTAATTCTCTGTGTATCACTTGCAAGGGATTCGAGGAAATTAAAGGGATCTTCTGTTCCTTGTGGAGCAAATCCATCAAAATTTAACTTTCTTTTAGGTTTAGATTGAGACTTTATTGTTCGCCTTTTTATGAAATCAGTCATTGTAGATATTAAAGAGTTTGACTCTTTCTTCATGATCCACATTCCAAGGCCTGAGTTCTTTGGAACCTTATACCTTGTCCTTGCTTTAATATATTTTGCATCCTTGACATCATCAGGAGAGCCAGGTAAGCTAACTACATTTTTCGTTTTTATTGGCGCATAAGTTGTGCCAGAATTCTGGCTGACAGACTCTTTGTTTTTAGTACTAATTACATTGAAATTATCATTTTTCGAATAAGATCATGTCTTATTTTGGAAATAATTCTCCATATTCTCAATTTTTCTGAAGATTCCACTCAAGTTTTCAGGAGCAAAAGCTTTACTCTTATAAAATGTGAACTGGTTATATTTTTCATTTAATAGAATATCCTCCTGGTATGAAGAGGTCCCAAATGGTTGATCAATACAGACGCCTAAATCAGCTGTCTTAAGTTTCGTATCTGATCTTTGGGTCATTGGTCTTCTAGGTTGTTCAACTATAAGATTGTCTGTGATACTTTTAGTGTCTCTCCCAACTTTCTTATCCTTTAACCTTTTATTTCTAGTAGCACTAAACTCCTGGTTGGCTTTGGTCTTCGGATGAGTAATCTTCATTCTTTTGCAGTTCAAAATATGTTTATCTTTTAGATACTTATTTAAAGTTCATCAAGTGGCTGCTACAAGCAGGATTATTTTGCCTTCTCATATTTATTCAACATAGATTCAGAATACTGTCTTTTGATCTTCTTGGAGTAATTGCTTGACTGGCTAACTGGCCTTGAAAGTGTGCTAAAGTTTAATGAATGATTTACCTTTTAAAAAGCGGGGTTTTTACAGTCCTTTTATTCTTTCTCTGCGTGTCTACTTCTAAAGGAATCTCATAAGTTATTATCCGCTTCTGTTCCACAGTTTTGTGTTCTCTTTGAAAATTGTTCATTTCTTGAGAATTTAGATGAGATTTTAGTAATGTGCTTGTAAAGACAGGCTGGAGGTCGGCAGAGTACTTGTTTGGAGGAACTATTGCTTTCTTAGAAGGCTTTCTAATACGTTAACAGGTCTTGAGTACCGGTGAATATCCAGGTCTTGGACATAAGCTTTGCATCGAGCAGTTTTAGGCGTCTTTAATTTGACCTTAGAGGAAGTGACCTTTATTTTCTTTGACCTTTGAGATGAGTTAGGTATTACTTTCAGGTCTAAATCATATTAAGAGAATACCATTTTTCTGAGCTATCCTCCCGGTTTCAATGTTTGATTCCTCATTACTATTGCTTTGTGGATTTTTGGTCGAACCTGTAGAATTGTTAAGATATAAGATCCCCTAGTGTATATGAGGAAGGAACTTACTTAGCTTAGTTACGTGTAGATGCTGATTTTATTTTGGAAATAACCTCTTTATTTTTGAATAAACATCTCAGGATCTACGATGTGGTATTTCATCAATCTGTTATTATCTTTATAGTTGACTTTGTTTAAATTTTGCTGATTTATAGTGTTTGGAAAGTTTGGTTTTGTGTTAGCAATTGGATCATTGAAGCTAGCCCGGGATAAATTAGGGTGCATTTCTTGAATATTAGGTTTGTATATCAAATTTATTTTTATTAAAATGGGGTTTTGGGGTTTTGGGGTTTTGGGGTTTTGGGG